TTTCATCTAATTCAGAATTATATCTGATTGTATTTTCTAATCTAGGTATAATAACATGTTCTATAGCATTAACACGACGGTTGGTTACTTTAATAACTCCATCCAAGATCATAAATGTGGTCTAAAAAGATGTAAATATTTTGTTTGTTCAAAAAAAATTTTATTTCTAAATTTTTAAAAAACATTCTTTCTTACAATGAACTTGTTGGCCATCTCTTCCCAAACCAGTCAATCAAAATTTTATACCAATCAACTGGCGCATTAAATACTTGATTTTATTGTATGCATTAAATGAATAAACACTGGATATATGTGCGAGTATATATAAAGTCAACAAACCATTTCCTCCTTCCATATAATTTTCAAAAATGGGTAACAAAAACATTTCTTGTTTGATACGAATACGTAATTGAGCATTCTTAGCACTCTCTTGAACCTGATAACTAAATTAGCATAAACCGTATAATAGTGATATGGTAATCATCATAATAACAGAATAAAAAAAGTAATTAATTCTCCATTTAAAAGAAAAGATTCAAATTCTACTCTATTACAAAGTAATAAATGACCTAATGTCGCCAGCAATATAAGTCACTTCTGCTAATGAAAATGAAGCTGTTTTCCCATCTTTCTTTTAGCCTAATTAATATTTAAAACATAGCAATTTCAAAAAATTTCAAGAAAAATAAAAAAACTTTTAGACCTCATCAAATTTTTGAGTTATAGTTTGGTTAATGCTTCACTTTTACGCTTTAACAAACTATGACCAGTTTGGGCGCCTTTCAATTTTATATTCATTGTTGTTAAAGCCCTAATCATATACGAAGAAGTATACTGTTAAGCTTTAATAACTCTGCTATCATTAATTACCCCCAAAAAATAGCGGAATAGAAAGGTAGAATATATTCAAGTGGGAAAATGTTAAGTCCTAGGCCTGTTCCTGACATTGTTTTATTTAAAAAAAAATATTGTATTTTATATATTAAATTAATAGTAATCTGGATATTCAAATATTAGGTAACAGTATGTTAATATAATAATAATTTATATTTGTATATTTCACTATTTTATGCAACATATACATATTTATCTTTGGTTCCTGGTGTCCTTTGAAGGTATTGTTTTTCTAATAGTTGCTCGATACATTTTTTTATCATTGGTACATTTGGAGTAAATCTATTTTTTGCTTGATCAACAACCTCATTAACTAATTGTACATGTGATAACGTCTTTCTTGATTTCATTACTCTGACAATTGCTGCCTATAATTATAAATACGTTGATTGATTAATTTTGATTAATTGAAATTATTATTTTTTTTTTGAAAATATATATATATTATTTTTAATTGCCTGGAGATAAAGTTTTCTATCTTCGTCAACGGATCTTCTTGTTGCATCATTTTCTTGTGGTGTCTCGGTTTGTAATGATGTACCAATTTTGATTTTATTTCTTTTACTTTTTTTTACAAGTATATATTTTTAAAAAAATAGTATTAGAAAAATGTTAATGATACCAATGATAATATGATAACAATGAAGAATTGGCTGAATTAATGGTTAATATTTACTTTGTAAATTCCATATTTAATCTAATTTTTGTTTCTTCCTGAAGGTTTCCAGGTGGCGATATTATAAATACTAACAAATCAATCATTGGCTATATAAATATATACATAATATTTATTAATTAAAATTAAAATTAAAATTAAAATTAAAATTTAATTATTTTGAAAAATAATAATGTACGTACCTTCATAATTCTTTTCAATTCTTGTTCATTTAATCCTATATTTTCAGAAATTTCTTTGAAGGTATATACATCATTATTATTGTATAACAAAAGTACTCCGAGTTGATGTAGAGAGACAGAGAATTCATATCGTTTATCAAGATATGATAATTTCACATCAGCTGTATATTCATTAATTAATTAATTCATTAATGGAAAATCATTACAAAAATTTTATTATTTACTTTTTCTCCATCAA